GCAGCAGCATGGCAGCAGCAAGCAGCAAGCAGGCACTGCAGGCAGCGGCAGCAGCGGCAGCAGCGCGAAGTTACAATTTTATATAGTAGGTTTTTTTTTTGATCGTGGTAGAAAGATCGCTGAGGGGAACTTTGTTCAGAATTGACGTTAGGCCTTTTTGGGGTTTCCTTTGCATGTACGTTTTGGGCACGAAATTAGGTTTGTGTTTTGCTGTTTTCGGATGTGTTTCGAAAAGGGTGTCTGGCTGTTTTGTTTCTTGCTTTGAGGCTTTTGATTGCAAGTCAATCACCCCAGCAGCAGCAAGGAGCAGCAGGCAGGCAGCAGCAGACAGCAGCAGGTAGCAGCAGGCAGCAGCAGGCAGCAGCAGGCAGCAGCAGACACCAGCAGAGGCAGCAGCAGGCAGCAGCAGGCAGCGGCAGGCAGCGGCAGGCAGCGGCAAAGTTCCAATTTTAAGTAGGGTTTCAAAAGTGACGTTAGGCCCTTTTTTGGGGTTCCTTTGCTACGTTTTGGGGGCTGTTTGATTGCAGCAGCACCACCGCAGCACCACAGCAGCAGCAGCAGCAGCCAGCAGCAGCACCAGTAGCAGGCAGCAGCAGGGAGCAGCAGGCAGGCAGCCGCAGGCAGCCGCAGGCAGCTGCAGGCAGCAGCAGGCAGCAGCAGGCAGCAGCAGACACCAGCAGAGGCAGCAGCAGGCAGCAGCAGACACCAGCAGAGGCAGCAGCAGGCAGCAGCAAGCAGCAGCAGGCAGCGGCAGGCAGCGGCAAAGTTGCAATTTTATAGTATAGGGTTTCAGAAGTGACGTTAGGCCCTTTTTTGGGGTTCCTTTGCTACGTTTTGGGCAGGAAATTAGGTGGTGTTTTGCTGTTTCGGATGTGTTTCGAAAAGGGTGTGTGGCTGTTTGTTTCTTGCTTTGGAGGCTGTTTGATTGCAGCAGCACCACAGCAGCAGCAGCAGCCACCAGCAGCAGCACCAGCAGCAGGCAGCAGCAAGGAGCAGCAGGCAGGCAGCAGCAGGCAGCAGCAGGTAGCAGCAGGCAGCAGCAGCAGCAGCAGGCAGCAGCAGGCAGCAGCAGGCAGCAGCAGGCAGCAGCAGGCAGCAGCAGGCAGCAGCAGACACCAGCAGAGGCAGCAGCAGGCAGCAGCAGCAGCAGCAGGCAGCGGCAGGCAGCGGCAAAGTTGCAATTTTAAGTAGGGTTTCAGAAGTGACGTTAGGCCCTTTTTTGGGGTTCCTTTGCTACGTTTTGGGTACGAAATTAGGTGGTGTTTTGCTGTTTCGGATGTGTTTCGAAAAGGGTGTCTGGCTGTTTGTTTCTTGCTTTGGAGGCTGTTTGATTGCAGCAGCACCACAGCAGCACCACAGCACCACAGTAGCAGCAGCAGCAGCCACCAGCAGCAGCACCAGCAGCAGGCAGCAGCAGGGAGCAGCAGGCAGGCAGCTGCAGGCAGCCGCAGGCAGCCGCAGGCAGCTGCAGGCAGCAGCAGGCAGCAGCAGGCAGCAGCAGACACCAGCAGAGGCAGCAGCAGGCAGCGGCACAGCAGACACCAGCAGAGGCAGCAGCAGGCAGCAGCAAGCAGCAGCAGGCAGCGGCAGGCAGCGGCAAAGTTGCAATTTTATAGTAGGGTTTCAGAAGTGACGTTAGGCCCTTTTTTGGGGTTCCTTTGCTACGTTTTGGGCACGAAATTAGGTGGTGTTTTGCTGTTTCGGATGTGTTTCGAAAAGGGTGTCTGGCTGTTTGTTTCTTGCTTTGGAGGCTGTTTGATTGCAGCAGCACAGCAGCAGCAGCAGCAGCAGCAGCCACCAGCAGCAGCAGCAGCAGCAGCAGGCAGCAGCAGCAGGCAGCAGCAGCAGCAGGCAGCAGCAGGCAGCAGCAGACACCAGCAGAGGCAATAACGCGGCATACTGACCATTTTGAAAACAGTAGAGTCGGAAAATTGGCACTAGCAAACTGTCGGGTGGACCAATCCTGTAACTGTCTCGTGGTACATTCAAGTCAGTTGTACTTGCATCATGAACATATACATCAGCATTCACACTCTTGTAGCTGGTGCCCAGAAGAAAACATATTGCGGCCGCAAGGTGGCTTTGCAAGTCGAAAGTCTGTGCTTCTGCCTCGTCCGGCTTTGGCTCCAATTTTAGAGGTCTTTGGCATGATCTGCATAGTTGATGTCGTGCTTTCTGCGATGCCATCACAGAAGGTCCCATAGAAAGGTATCCATGAAAAAGCAAATTCAATAGCAATGCTTCAAGCCAGGGGATATCAAAACTAGAACCGCAAAGGCGCCATGCCAGCTTGGCAAATACTGCTTCTGCTCTTCGATCTACGTCTTTTTCTGTTCTGTCTATGTTGGCGCTTGTCCTCGTGCTGTCCGTCTCTACGGTTGGTTCAGTTTCACGCACAGTGGTTTGGCGCAACAGACTATCAAAATGATATCCCCTGCCTTGCACAGAGGTGTGATTGTATATATGCAGCTGTAAGGCATGATGCTCGGGGTGCTCGAACCCAAGATGGACAAGAATCTTGTTCCGATCTGGGTCTGCCGTGCACTCACCAAATCGGTCGTGCACACGAATTATCATGTTAGCGCGCGCAACAGCCCGAAATCGTTGCAACAGAAATGTCACAATGTGCGGGCCATCGCGGTGCGCATCTAAATATGGAAAGAATCCCTTCGCGCTTGGAAGTACTGCTTGCCCAACCGCTTGAACCAAATGCTTTCTGCATGCAACTGCACTGCGTCGTCTTGCTGCAACATCTGCGCCCAAGTTGCTTGGCAAAAGACCTTCATACGCTAAGCACAGCATCAAGGAATCGATTAGGCAATTGTTGACGCCGTGTGACAGCGCCTGCTGCCACCTGAACCCTTCAGCTGCCAAAGCCTTTAAAGCTTGGGTATCAGTCATGCTTCGGCCAGGAGCATTTACCTGCGCGATGTCACACAGACGGTCCGCAACTGCAACGCAGTGAGCCTCTGTCGTGCTTGTTTGCAATTCTTTCCAGCCATCCCAAGTGGGCACCCAACTCTGCCCAAGTACTTTTGCTGCGTCCTCTGCTGTTCCAAGTCTAGATAACAAGATTGCTGCGCTTCAAGGTGCGATACATTTCATTGCGTTACATTGCAATGCATTGCATTGCATTACATTGCATTGCATAACATTACATTGCCTTACATTGCGTTGCATTACACTTCATTGCATTGCTTTGCATTACCTTTCGTTGCTCTTCATTGCAATGCAGGGCATTGCATTGCATTACATTGCATGGCATTACATTGCATGGCATTACATTGCATTACATGGCATTGCATTACATTTCACTGCATTGCATTGCATTGCATTACATTTCATTGCTTTTCATTGCAATGCATTGCATTGCATTACATTGCTTGGCATTACATTGCATTACATTGCATTCAATTGCATTACATTGCATTCCATTACATTGCATTGCAGTACATTGCATTGCATTACATTGCATTGCATTGCATTACATTGCCTTACATTGCATTGCATTGCAGTACATTGCATGGCATTACATTGCATTGCATTGCATTTCATTGCATTGCATTACATTGCATTGCAGTGCAGTACATTGCATTGCACTACATTACATTGCATTGCATTGCATTACATTGCATTCCATTACATTGCATTGCATTGCAGTACATTGCATTGCATTACCTTGCATTGCATTGCATTGCCTTGCATTGCATTGCAGTGCATTGCATTGCATTGAATTGCAGGCTTTCATTTATAGTTTCTTTAGGTCAATTTATGATTTCTTTAGGGTTCATTTTGTGTTTCATGTAGGGGTTTCTGGCAGCAATTCATTCGGGTTTCTTTCGGTTTCACAGTTTCACCTACGGTGTTTAAACTTTCATTTAAGATACAAACAGGAAAGAATAAAACAAAAAAAGTAGGATTTCAATTTCATGTAGGAATTCTCTTGATATTTACATCTCTTAAGGGTTTTATTTCGAGTTTCTTTTGCGTTTCTGTCGGGTTTCATGTAGGGTTTCATTTAGGGATTCTTTCCGATTTCCTTTCGCGTTTAATTTCGAGTGTTATGTGAATTTCTTATCAGAAAATCTTGTCAAGGTTTTCAAACATTCATGTGGGTTTCTTGAGAGTTTCTTTAGAGTTTCATTTCAGATTTCGTTCATGAGGGGTCAAAAAAACACGGGGGAAGTCAAACAAACAAGGTGGGGGATCAAAAAAAACAACGCCCTCGTATACTTTCATAAAATATCATGCACCTGTGCGGCGCAACCATGCACCTGTGCGGCGCAACATTAGCTGTATAATAATAGGGCCAAAAATATTGTGTATATATATATATAACTATTATACTGTTACTTAGATCCATGAACCCATAAAACCATAAGATCAGAGTATTAACATGCACTCAAATGAAAAACCCATTTACACATGAAAATTCAAACCTATCAAATATATTTCACAAGGATGTACATAGCAAAAAGGTCGAGAACCTCAAGGTGCAACGCACCGAAGCGTTTTTCTGCCAGCTTTGCTTCCTTGCCACTTCTTCCGGGGTCGGCGGCAGGGGCGGCAGCCCTTAAATATAATTGAGAAAAGAAATAAGGTGGATCTAAGAGTATTGATTGGGGATCAAAAAAACACGGAATCAAAATTGGGTAACTCAAACTCGCAAACTTTCCCAGAGAAGAAGAAAGGCATGCGACCAAAAATATCCTGGCCGATTGGCACCGGCTTTCCGCGCCAAACAAAGGAACCCAGCTCTCTTCCAGTGGTTTAAGAGTTGCATCTCAACATATGCTTGCAGCCCAAAGATCTGTGCAATTCTTGTAATGGAGCCTTATGTGCAACCGAACACTAGGCTTAAAACCACAGCAAAAAGGAAAGCCCTCACCAACCTATTCTCCATCATTTCCCCCACCAAGACGGCAATGTTGGATTTGATCCCCCATTTTCAGACAAGCCCAAGGTTACAAGTTCTCCGGAGGGGGAAAATACACATCGCGCCTCTATTGCCTCCAATTTGTACTCCACGACCCGCCTGAAGCTAAAATCAACCCTGGACAATCCTGGAATCATTGATGAAACCTGGAGGAGATATAAAGCATGTGTGCTGCTGATGGCATGAGAATATCTACAGCCCTTTTCCAAACAGCTTTTGCACAGATTTGCATGCCAACTCTTTTCTCCCACTCTCCAAATCGAAATCCCACTTGTTCCAGAAGCTAATATCAACTTGATCAGCATAATCATGAACCGCATTAGCAGCCACATCATTCCCAAAGACACTACGCCTCACACCAGCACCATGACCACGAGCCCTCCACCGCTAACGCCTGTCATCACTCTGAGATTGCTGTGGCTCGGGGTGCTTCTCCGTCTTGGAAGCAGCACCCTCCAGCAGAGATTGTAGGTCGTTCATCCTCATTCCAGTGGTCCAGGACAGTCTGAAAGTGGGCTGATTGAACCCCCACTGTTATAGCCATCTTTGCGGGGAAAGTGGTGATCAACATCCCAACAGCCCACCAAACCAGACGCGGAGTGGATGTTGGATCCCAAGAATCTCAATCTGAACAGGTGATGTCACGGTCAGGCAGGATGCCGGAATTCTCAGTGGTTTCAATGGAGAATGGAGACCTTTGAGTGGTTTCAAAAAATAATGAGGAATGATGGACAATCGATGATATTTGACATCTATCCATGATCATCCCTGATAATAGTTGATAAATCAAAAAAAAACAGCGTCAGATTTGTTGGTCGACCTAGCCCTTGAGAGCCACTCTAAAACATTCTCCAGGCATCATTGACTTCTCTTCAGGCGACATCTGGGCAATGCGCTCCATGATTTCGCTCTCACCTTGGATCTTCAAAAGCTCCAAGGCAAAGTTGATCCTATGATTCCTATGTGATATAAAAACGTAAAACAGGATTGGAAGTTTCATCCAATATCTTGAAACAGCTTGAAACAGCTTGAAACCATCCAGATACACCCAGTGTTTTGGCGCATGGTGCGGCCCCAGACACTGAGCTGCGCCAGCTGCTCCAGATCCGTCGACTTCAGGGCCTCCGCAGCGGTTTTTGCATCGCCACTTCCAGGGTACAAGGCCTTCTTTACCTTCGCTGGACAGGAAAATGTTGTGAAAATGTTGGGGAAAAAATTACTCTGATGGTTGTTTAAAGTTTATGTTGTTTTAACAGGCCGCAAAAACCCTACTGAGTTCAAGTCGTGTTGAGTTCTTTCTGTTGCATTTGAGTTTTTCTGCTCCACACTTCCAACTGATCAAAAGCCAACCGCGCAGGTCCGGGCAAAAAATGCATGAAAATGCCTTGGTACCCATCAAGTGATGTCACTTCATATCCCACATTTTATGATGCCACCATGGCACGTTCTCAAGAAAACCTTTCTTCATGGCCGGTTGCGATGGCAAGCCATCTGTCTGCTTTGGCTGATCCAACTTTTGAGGCACGCCTTGCAGGGAAGGTCCCAGGGAAGGTCCCAGGGAAAATTTCGGATCCTCGCAGGTAGGGATTCAACTCCCGTAGGGAACTCTCAAGGGATTCCGGGGAAACGTGGCAGGAAATTTGAGGAACTTGGGGAAACATAGAGAAGTCCTCAGAGAACTTTCAGGAAGTATGTAACTCCGGGGGAATTTCAAACTAGGCAATTTAATGAAACTTGGTGTCACTGGAGTGTACCACCTGAAGTGGCACCAACCTGCCAAAATCTTCAAGCAAACGACTGTATATTGGGATATTTGTATTCCTCTAGTGTCCCAAACATCCCAACCAGCCTTTCTCATCAAAATAAAAGTCTCTGGTATCTTCTGCTGGCTCATCCAGCTCTTCCTGGATCTGATCAAAGCGCGAATAGTCGTTGTTGTACTTTTTGGTTACCTCTGTTCCATCCGGAAGGTCTGCTTCCCATCCTTAAAGCCAGGTTTTTTGCTGCTGATAGGTCGCTTCGGGGCAGAAGGAGTAGGGAGCAATGGTTGCTAGGACAGCGTCAGAAGCAACAAAGAGGAATCCATCCTGAGGATCATCACTTGACAATCAACATTGCATGAAACACAGCCCATTTATAGATGAGTTACCTAATAACATCTAATAATAACTAAAAAATGTTCCATTTCATAGCTATGTTAACTTACCAGAGTCTAAATCTGGTGAAGCCTGAGCCTGGTGAAGCCCATCATGACCAGTGGCTGTCGGACGTGCTCTTCTTGGCCCATTTGTCCAAGTCCGTAAGCAGCGTGTCCCGAAACTCCTGGTCCATTGGGATCATCGACGATGGATCCACCAAGAAAAACTGGAAGAGAAGCAGATTGGACCAGGACACACGCACAGAAGATCACAGAAGCACAGGAGTCCATGCGTTTAGTCAGTTTAGTCGCTCCTGCTGCTGTCGGTTGTTCTCCTTCGCCGCATCTGCTTGTTTCTGGTGCTCCTAAAAGGCACTTGCTGGATCACCAAACGAAAAAACCCGACCGTTTTGTATGTGTCCGATCTTTTCCAAGATCAATCTGCAGTGGCATTATCACAGTACCATCAGCCCATCTGAGATCATCTTGGATCAGCTCCTCAAGAGTTGACCCTTCGACCCTTCGCACCTGGTATTCAGGACTTCTGGTGTCCACGATCTTGCACTGATTTCTCAATCCTCAAGCAGAAACTGGAAGAAAAATCATTCATGCCAAGGAAGAAAAGCTGGGTGATCCACAACTCTTAGAGCAAGGTGCTCTTTGGAATATATCCCAGCGGGTCGCCAGCATTCTCCGGGACGACGCCCTCTTTGGAGCCTGCCATGCGAAATCTTGGGAAAAAATGTGACCAGTTGTTTTTGTTGGGTCTTTGTTAAGTCAAACTTGGAACCCCAAGTTTAACAAAATGATGGAGGATTATTTTTAAAAAATACACCACAGAACTGGATCTGGCACAATAGTGAGTTGAAAAATCAATGGCTCAGCAAATTCACAGCTCTAAGGCCGCCGGCCATCAGGACCATAAAGTTTGGACTTGCCGCCATTCAAAAAGCCCTTCTTCAGCACTGGAGCTTTTCCTCAGATTCAAGGGTAAGACCGGGTAAGAATAGCAAGAAAAAAGCCTGCAAAGCTGGAATTGTTCAAGAAGTCTGAATTCCCATCATTGATTGATATGATAAAATCTGATCAAATATAGAATATGAATGTACCAAAACTCACGCCACGTGGCTCACATCTGGCGTCAGGTCCTCGATCAAGATCTCTTCGGGCTCCTCCAACACAAGGATTTGCTTTTTTAGTACCATCTATATACAAATAGTGGATTTTCCTGGATTTTTCTGGATTTCCCTGGATTTTCCACAATCATCCCAAGCACAGGATCTTAAAGTCTTTTCGGACGATTCGCAGGGTGAGATTGTGGGTGGTTTGTGAGACTCAGGGTAGATATGCGTACCAACATAGCTTTAAAATGTTTAAATGAAAGCGTTGCATCTCATCTCACCGGTTCCCTATTGCTCTCAAAAATACTTTACAAGCAGGTGAACAAACTGTTTGAATTGCACCCAAATCAGGTCAAGGAATTCTTCCCTTCACCTCTCCATCTACCCAACACTTTGCACAGCAAAATCCAGCAGTGCTTATTTTATCAATTGTGTTTTTCTCCAAAAAGAGTTTGATTCACTATCCAGGCCGTTTCAATAAGGCCTTCAACCCAGCCTGCGACCGCCCCCCGCGCGACTCGGCCTTCGGCTGCTCCGTGCGAAGCTCCTCATCGAAGGAATCCTTCTCGTCAGGAAGCTCACCTTAGAGCACCATTCGAAATGAGGATCGATGCCCTTCGAAATGAGGACATTTCAAAGGGTCAATGGATCGAAATGGATCATTTTGGATTCTCGAAAAACACCATTATTGATGGGACTCCATCTGGATAACCAGTTATAACCATTATTTGGAGTCCCATTTGGATAACTATTATAGATAAATGGGACTCCAAATTATCATCGAAACCATCATCTTCCATCGACCAAGGCACGGAACTCCCTTGGGATGTTGGGGTCACCACCTTCGCCATCCTGCGGATGGCGGATGGCAGGCTCGACTTCTGGCTGGAACATCTTCATCGGATCATCCAAAAAGGATAGCTGACATGTGTGGAACGTGTGGGTATGTACATATATTTATGTGTTTTTATGTGTATATATAATATATATATATATATATGGTATATATGTGTGTGTGTGATATATATATATATGTGAGATATATATATATACATTATATATATGACAAACAAAGCACATGGCTTAAGATCACAATCCCACCTGCTCGAAAATGTATGAAGCAAAAAAATACAACAGCAAGTTCTAAGCATCTTCGGGCCTTGTATCTGAAGTCCTTCACCAGCTTGATGCTTGAGGTCTCCAGCTTCACATTCAAGCTCTCCTTCAAAGACTTGGGAGTCCCGAAAAGCATAGATGTCCTCGACGTTCTAAAAGTTTACCCATTGAATATTGGGAATGATTACCCTGATGATTACATATGAAAAACGCCATTCGGGGGCCAGGGAGATTCACCACGTAGAAGTTACCACCACGTCGCCGGATGACCTCGATCCGCTTCAGGGTGAGGTTGATGACGAAGGGTCGGAACGACTCCGTGCTGCTGCAGAAGGCATCGTCCACGAAGAGCTGTACGATCAGGGGATGGAAGACCACATCCTCTCGCCATCTGATCCATCTGGAGCCAAAATTCAATGCCAAAATACAACAAAAATCAACAGGAGAGCCAAGCCGTGGGAGTTGGGAAAATCCTCATGGCTCAACGCCAAGGCTCTAAGCACCAGGTGGTTTGCTTTGCACCCTCGGCACGCTCTCCTTTCACCTTACCTTGGGCATGATTGTCAACGGGACTCCATTGGAATTGACCATGTGTCAATGGGGAAAATGATGATCCTCCATTGGAATTGGGGTACCCAATTTTCAGGCAAACGCATAAGATGATATGACCAACATGAAAAAGGGGATGGTCATTTCCATGTAGAAACAGGTCTTAGCAGCAAGAGCAATTGTGAGAATCTGAAATTCAATGATGTTCCATGGAGTACAAAATCATGTCAAAAATTCCGATAATAGTGTCATCATTCATCATCATGTCATAATCATGTCACAATTCCCATGCTCAGTATCCACAATCTGTATCTATCAGCTCTTCTGCTCAGCCAGAGTCGAGCCCAAACAGCCAGGGTCTTGGCTTCATCAAAGTTGACCTCCAATAGCATGTTCAATACATCCCCGGCATGTTGCACAAACGAAAAAAACCATGGAGAGCCGCCCCCAATGACCAATGGCAAGGTGCGGAAAGATCCCATGTCAAATGGCACCTGTAGGTTTGCAATGCCATGTGTCAGAATCCATTCCTTCGAGACCTGGCTGGGCGCAAGGAGCGACACAGTGCCACTGAAAAGCGCGAACAATTGGATTCGTCCAAACATTGGGAATACCCCAACCATTACTTTTATTCCATTAATCAACGTATGTATGTAATGTCATGTCATGTAATGTACTGTCATGTAGTGTAGTGTAGTGTAGTGTAGGTAGTGCAGTGCAGTGCAGTGCAGTGCAGTGCAGTGCAGTGCAGTGCAGTGCAATGCAATGCAATGCAATGCAATGTCTGTCTGTCTGTCTCTGTCTCTGTCTCTGTCTGTGTCTCTGTCTGTCTGTCTGTCTGTCTGTCTGTCTGTCTGTGTCTCTGTCTGTCTGTCTGTCTGTCTGTCTGTCTGTCTGTCTGTCTGTCTGTCTGTCTGTCTGTCTGTCTGTCTGTCTGTCTGTCTGTCTGTCTGTCTGTCTGTCTGTCTGTCTGTCTGTCTGTCTGTCTGTCTGTCTGTCTCTGTCTGTCTGTCTGTCTGTCTGTCTGTCTGTCTGTCTGTCTGTCTGTCTGTCTGTCTGTCTGTCTGTCTGTCTGTCTGTATGTCTGTCTGTCTGTCTGTCTGTCTGTCTGTCTGTCTGTCTGTCTGTCTGGCTGTCTGTCTGTCTGTCTGTCTGTCTGTCTGTCTGTCTGTCTGTCTGTCTGTCTGTCTGTCTGTCTGTCTGTCTGTCTGTCTGTCTGTCTCTCTCTGTCTGTCTGCATGCATGCATGCATGCATGCATGCATGTATGTATTGTGTGTATATTATGTGTGTATATATATATGTACTGTATATATGTAAGATTACAAACTGAATTTTCGGAGATGTGGGATATCCATTGCTATCCTCATTCTTGCGTACACATGGACATAAAGCGTCGGACCTTCTGGCCAGAGTAGGACACTGGCATCTCTACCAGCTTGTGCATTGTCATGTTGAGAAACCTCGTTGCTGCTCGTTGCAGCTGTCAACCGGAGAGGCCATGACTGGAGGAACGGTGAGTACAAAATTCAAACATGACTCTGAGCTGGTGGGTTGCTGTGGCCTTTGATGACATGACACTCACATATGCCATGGTCATCCGTCCCTTGAGTAAATCCGTACTCATAGATTGATGACCATTCCCCGCTATCGGCAAGCTACGCAAGTTTTGACCATGGCACATAGAGGATACCAAAGCTACGCAGGAAGAAAGAACCCTCATGGGTCAAAATGATCAACCCCCCGGGCATGGTTTCAGATCTTCAAAACTATCAAAAGAACACGTGATATTCCTTTAAAATGGATGGTTTAAAATACTAACAATAACTAATGAACTAATGTTTCCTAATTGGGTAACCTCTTGTAATTCAATAAGCTATGGAAAATCACAAGTTTAGTAGCTAAATCATCGAACTGAATGGCCATCTATATCATAGCTGCATAGCTGCATGTATCATATGTTTATTCCAGATATCATCCCATCATTATCCCATTATAATGCTCATTATATAGCCATCAACCAGTAATCGCCGGAAGGTACATCCCTATTAGCCCCTATATGATACTATATACCTGCATTTTGATGATTGAACCCTCATTTATGTTTAAAAGACCCATTAACATAATATTGAAGCCACTACATTCCCCGTATTTTGATGGTTAAATCATATCAAATCCCATTAAAGTACCGTTTTATCATCAAATCAAAAGGATCAAAATTGACTTCCTGCTGGGTCACCATCGCCCTGGGGGAGTGCCAGTGCTTTTGGCCTGGAAAACGAGCTGAACTGAGCTTTGGGCTTTGGCCCGTCTCGGGTTAGCCAAGCACGCGGGAATGGCCAAAAAAAGTAGTAGCAAATATTTATATTTATGTTTATATTTATATATATATAATGTGTGTATGTGTACATATGTGTATGTATGTATGTATATATATATATGTCTGTAAGTAAGTGAGTATGATATATATATATACATATTATTATATGAGTATGATATGTATAAATGAAATATAAAGCAGATATTATCTATATATATATATATTATTGTATAAATGACGTATAGAGCCATGTCTGGTTCTTCAACTCTTCAATGATCCAAACCAGATTCCCTAACCAGCGCACCTTGAGGCAAAAGCCAATGCCGGGCCGCAACGGTGGATGTGGCCCAACCGTCATGGCGCGCTGAAGAGCTTCCACAAATCGCGGCAGAAAAGTTAGAGTCCTGTTGTGTAATTTAGTCGTACCATTGTAGTACTATTACGTGTATATATATAGAGAGAGAGAGTACTATTATTGCTAATTACTAATGGAGTACTACTATATAGTACTATGGCACTTTTATATGTTTGTACTATTATATACTATGTTATATAGTTGTACTATGTACTATTATATACTATGTTATGTAATGTCCGAACTCTTTCAGGGGTTGCTTGTGGCTCCTAGTGGAAATTTGGCACCTCCATGTAAAGAACATTGAAGTGTCCGTCACACCATTATGTACACATAACACGGTACATCATAGCCGCTATAGCCAATGCTATCTCTGCCCATCCTAGCTACGTGCTTGGGTGGAAAAGGCCACGGAAAATCACACCAAGGCATGGTAAAAGGATCTAAAAGGCAAGTTATAAGCAAGTTGGTGCATCAAACCATCGAAATCCAGCTGATTTTCCTGAAATGGCCAAAACTTTTGCAGCTCCATCATGTTTCATTACCGATGTTGGCAGCTGATCACCACAGGCCCTCGCCCTCGCCTGGTCGAGGCGGATAGCCTGGAGGAAGCACACCTCCTGCACTTCCATGCCTCGGCGTCCGAAGCACTTCCGAAGTGACCATCGTGGATCAGATTCACATCAAGTTGAAAGACCATTTACAGTGACTCTGTATTGTCACTTCTATATTATATATGTGGAACGTCGAATCTGAATTGTTTGGCAGTCCTAGGGTTTTTTGGTTTTGATTGCACAGTGGTTTATTCTAAATTATTATATATATATATGTGATTATATATATGATCATATATATATATTATTATATATATATATTTATATATATATATTAATATATATATATTAATATATATATTATTATTATTATTATTATTGTTATTGTTATTATTATTATTATATATATATATATATTATTATATATATATATATATTATTATATATATATATTATTATATATATATGATTATATATATATATGATTATATATGTGGTATATATATATATAAGCCCATTTCATCAAGTCGAAACAGCGTTTCCAGTGCCCTTCTGGGCTCCCATGCCATCCCTGAGGAGGAGAAGACCTCTATCAAAAATGGAGGTCTCAATAGGGAAAGTCATAGGAAAATGTGGGAAAATCCACCATAAATTTAATAAATGGAGGTGTTAAATCGAAAAAAACAACTGTAAATGGGATCTTCTCCTGTGGTTTTTTGTTGTCTTCGATTGTGACTGGACAGCAATCAAATCCTCAAAATCCTCAGATCCACATGTCTCAACTGCCACAAAATCCCCTGATGTTTCTTGGGTTCCTGGGTTCAGTTCAGCCAAAGCACCAGTACTCCTCAAAGGGCGGGCGGCGCCTGGGTTTCTGTTTTCCAGCTTTGACCAACAAGTGTGCCGAGTTCACCCAAACAATGGAGGATGTGGAGGTTGCCAAAGCCATTGGGGTAACCCGCAATCATCCAGTCGTCATTGGACCATGACTTAGTATTGAAACAACCATGGTGACTTGGGGATCCCCCATTTTAAGAACTCCCCATATACCTATTAACCAGAAATCCTGTATCATCCAGTTCTCTATGGGTCCCAGTTGTATCACCAGGTAGCCAACCTACCAAAAACCTGCATTCGGTATGTCACTCAGCTGCCCACTCCGAAACTTCGGCTCGGGACCTGGCGGGTCGCCCTGTTTTTAGACCCACTGGGAGAAATCTGAAATCCATTGAAATTATGGCACTGTTACATAGTGTTACAATGCGTCACAGCTAATTAAGGTGAAGAATCAAAATGGATTGTGCAAGGACAGAAAATGAGAAGTCAAGCAAAACTAGCGCCAAAAGCAAGAAATGGGACATGTAAGCCCGAAACATTGGATGGTTGGGTATTGAAAAGGACAAGCTACAGCTTAGACGCATGGAATGCTGACCTAGACCATCCGAAATCCACATCCAAGCATCTCACTAGTATAGACATGCCAAAACAAACCGGGTAACCCCTGGAACAAAACTACATCTTGCCATGTAGCTTTGTCTTCTATTTTAGGCTACACATCCACCATTTCCTCCGTTGTCAGGCCTTCCGTCCTGGCAAGAGAGGCAACGGGGATAGGATGATGGTCATGCCACGTGAATTTCATGGCATGCCTGCGACAACAAAAATAGCCGGTTGTTGTGATATGTTATGGATATGGCGTCAAATATTGGAAACAGAGGCTTTGACAGATCCCGAAACAGCTTCAAGGGTCGAATCCACCAGCTGCAACTGGCTGTCACAAGCCGCCAAAATGGAGATATCAGATATCAAGTGAATCGATACCCCCAACCCAATAGTCACTTACTGAGGATGAAGTGACTGAGGGTAGACTGGACCCTAATTCCCCAACATCATCCCAGAGGTTTGGGGTGAATTAATCAGTGGGTTCAGTCAGGAAGCAATCCTAGAAGATGGAACAAATCGCCATCAGCAGGGAGATCTTGCGACAACTTCGATGCTTTAAAAACTTTGGAGCTGACCTGCCTTAAAGAGTGCAGATTTGTCTCAGACTCCCAGCCAGATCAGCCATGGCCCGGTTTTTTTTAGCCCACAAGAATCCGCAGCAGGCCTCCCTCTCGCGCCGCCTTGCACGGGACGGATGCCAGATCTTCATGGCATAAACGTGTCCCCCTGGGGCCCCTGCCTCTTGTGGTGATGCCGTCCCGAGCGGCTCCGTCGGCGCCGCCGGCCGCCCTCCACTTCTCCACTCATCGAAGGACAGGAAACCCTGCTATTTTTGTCGAATGGCCCAATCATGGCAATGTTCATAGGGAAAATAATGAAGCTGTGGATGGAATAGGTAGGGTATCCTATACAAATCTGCTTCTTTCGGTGTATCCTTCAAGGATGTCAGTTTGCCTTCCTTCAGGTGATTGTACGGTTTCAGGGTGAAGGAATTCTTCTGGGAAAGAAAACAACGAGCTTCCAGGGTTCACTTGGGGTGCAAAGGCTGGTTGCTCTGTATGGAGCAGAGCAGCATGCTCGCGCATGTCTGTTGTTTGGGGGAAGCCATTGTAACAGATTGTAACAGCATGCTTTGTCTTGAGCCAAAAACACCAAGGTCACTAAAGCTGTCATCATCAATGGCAGCGTGATCATAAGTCATCTACAAGTGGGGGGTTTAGCCCGGTTACAAGTAATTAGATTGTAACCATGGTAATCAACTAGGGTACCCCGGAATCTAACGGTTTAGTCAGGTCAGCACGATTTCCCAATTCAAGTTGCATCTGTGCAGGTAGCCCCATTTGCCGAGTGCCCTTTTGCTGGAGGACCCAGTGCAATGCGGCGCCGCAGATCTAAGCAATGGCCATGACAGGCCATCAGGACTCCAAGTAATCGACAACAGACTAAGTTGACCAAAATTGAACAGATGCATATTCCAGGTTTTCAAAAAGTCTTGAGTCTTGACTCCCAGAAAAATACTTTTCAAGTTTTCTTCCGCTAGTTTTTTTTGATCTGATCTGAAACAAACCAGGAAAACGAGATCAGAGTGCAGAACGTTTCAATTGTACCGGAGTCTCACTGCGGCGCCATAATTCAAACTGGAGTAACTGGAGGCCTTTTCCCACACGCCAGCCACACGGATGTTTCGCGCGAAGGCTGTGTGGAGGCCAACTCTTCCCTCACTTCTTGCGACCCTTCCGATCCTTCCGGCCACACTTCATGGCCCGCAGCCCAGCCTTTGCTTTCGGCCTCGGAAAACGGGCTACAAGGGGGAGCGAAAGCCAAACTATCTCATTCTGCAGAACATGCTCTTTTCTGTTCAATCTAAAATCAAAATTCAGTCTCTAATTCATCTAGTTCTCTAAGAAGTGCCTGTTACAGTACAAGACTGCACATCACTTGATATCACTTGGATTATTGCATGTCCCTACAGGGTCGTCCTACCACCTACCTTTGGCACTTGAGCCACCCGACTTGGCTTTGGCGACAACCTTCGAAAGGGAGGCAATGCAGATTTTAATGCTGGCGCCCAAAGGCACTTAATCAGGTGCACAAAGCCATTGCTGGGGATTCAGGGCTCCCGCCATCATGCAATGATGGGCCCCCTGCTGCTGCTGAATGGGGCCGTAAGTTGTAAACGGGTCAAGTACCAGTTATCAGCAGTTTCGGTCATGTTAGCTACATTCCATTTATATCTGCTATATCTGCTATATCTGCTAGGGGCCTATTCGACTTCACATAGACAACGGAGCTAGTTTCACTTCACGACTTCCTGCAACCTGCCTTTTGGACAGATTTCATTGCCCGTACCCCAGCTTTTGCTTTTGGCCTCGGCCAAAACAAGCAAAACCAAGAACCGCATCCTTTGGGTTGACCTGAAAATACAACGCCATAAAATCCCATGGTTTGTCAGCATGCTCCGCATGACCATTTTTGGACAAACCCTATTGTCTCACTATCCGAGAGAATTTTGCCAGATAGTGCAGAGCCACGGCCACTTCAGTCCAAGAATTTCATGGTAACCCTTCTGAAACTTTAGAATTTTGCACTATGTATATGCCCTGTAGCTATAAATGGGGTTTGACCACTGTCAAAAGGGCATTCCACTAGGTCCAAAGGCCCCCCAAAATCGCACCACGATTTCTTGGGCCCTGGCTTGGCTTTGGCGACAGCCTTCGCAATCGATGCTAGATTTCCAGTGGAACATGATGGAACCACTGAAGCTCTGAGGAAATTCTCCACGCCAAGCAGTATGTGGACGGATTTCAAAGTTACAATTTTTGCAGAAAGGATGCGCGTTTTGTTGGGTTGAAATGGTTGAAAGTTGAAATCTATTGCCTGTGTCCTTTCTTGGCGTTTTCAGGAAGAAAACGGCACACACAACCAATCCCGATACATCCGCCTTGGACTTAAGTGTCGAAATGAAAGGATCTCAGCGTTCGCAGGGAGATGAAATGATTCTTGCTGGATGATAATTGCTATGTAATGGGTATACAATGAGGACCATACTGGGATAATGATAGGATAATATCTGGATATTACCCTCCGGTAATTTAACAGTTGGCTATGGTATTGTAGATGGCCCATTTACTGATGATTTACCTATACCAAATTGATTTACCTATACCAAAAAAGAAAAACATGATTTGCATTGATTTGCAATATTGTTAGATTGACCAAGAAGCTCATCTGAAAACAATAAATCGTATACTTAGCTCGTACTTAGTCGTACTTCAGCATCCAAATCTGAGTTCAATCTCCAGGTTCGCCACCTCCCAAGGCTGGGCTCTCCAACTGTTCTTGGCCACCTGGCTCCAAAGCCCCAGAAAAGCACTGCAACCAGCAGGAGCCGTGGATTTCGTGAGAGCCAACCCAACATGATACAACCCAACAATGTTGGGAAGAACAATACCAACCAGGTTGATGGTTCTTTTTCCAGCCTACTGTCCTTAAACAGGGACATTCCCTACCTGGTAGGGTCCTCCCGTAAGCGTACCTCCTGCTCGAGCTTCTTAGCTCTCAGCCGCGCTTGCTTCAGAGACTCGGGCATTGGCTCAAAGTCCTGACGAAGATTTGGAACTTGAAAGCTATCTGAG